TAGGGGTTTCGGGGTTAGGGTTTAGGGGTTTAGGGCTTAGGCTTCAGGGCTCTAGGCTTCCAGGGTTCAGGCTGAGGGCTTTCGGAGGGTTTGGGTTGGATTTTGCGTGTGGGCGTTCGGGCTCACAGCACTCCATCCGTGGGGGCTTCGGGCTTCGTGGGATTCTAGGGTTAATTTTTAGGGTTTAAATAGTTAAGTGCTCAGAGAATAAGCTTTCGGGGGCTTTGGGTTTGGCGGTTTATGGCTTATGCTAGCGCAGAGACAGAAGGTGTGTGGCAGTGTGGACTTGAGGTTTGTAGTCGCCCTTTCAGCCGAGACATGCTAGATCCTAAACCCAAAGCTGTTTACACTTCACGCGTGTGCTGTCACTTTGCTACTTCCTGTCATTCCTGCGACCTTGATACTGTCGGGGCCTTCACCATATTGTACTATAACTATAATCAGGAACCCCCAGAGTATAGTATTGGCAACTGTTTAAGCTCCCATATTACAAAGGCGCCATACCGCGCCGTACTCTTTCTTGGACACCCGTCACAGGACCTTATAGCCACACTCAAATCTACTAAAAACAACGCCCCAGCCTCGAAAGTTCTGCCCATGGCCGGTACAACATCGTCGTTGTCAAACCCTAGACCCTAAACCCAAAACACTAAAGCCCTAAGCATTATACGGGTTATTATGGGGCCAGGGGTTTACTTCGTGGTATTCGTGAGGGCCAGACCAGTCTAGGTGTCGGATTGACCAGTCCCCGCTTTTCACCAAGTCCCACTCAACGAAACATATTCTTACGGTAGTCTGCCCCGAAACTTATTCGAAGGCTTGAGTTTGAGATTGTGGGCGTTCGGGATTGAGGGTCCCTAAATGCCTCACTGCTAGAGCTTGAGGAAGGCGTCGGGTCTGGGGGACCGCCAATCTCAGCATGAATTTGGAATCGATGTAAGCTTGAAGCCGACATATCGGCAGTTTCGTATGGAAGACTTCTCGTGAACCCAGAGTTCTATGGGGTTTAGGGTATCGGGCATCAGGTTTCTGTGTGATGAACTCAACCCTGCCAGTTTCTGGTTCGAGGTAGATGTAGGGAGCAAGTCTCTTTAGACAGCTGGCTGCATGCAGCCGACCATGCTGACAAGCTGAAGAGACAAAACAGCCCGGGTTCGAACGTGCGGTGGTGCGATCTGTGTACTACTGCCCAGGTAGGGGCTGTAGGCACCAAGTTGTTGCTCTATGCTAAGCTTTGCCCTGTATCAGTTCTGGATTGTTTCGTCAGACTCAACCCAGAGAGTCCACATATACAAGTTGGAAGTATGGAATTGGGTCCTCAAAGACCATCCTCGTCATGGTTTTTGCGACCTATTCCATACTAGTAGAAAATATGGACTCTCTAGGTAAACCAGCACGTAAGCCCAGATTTTTACCTGGATGTACACGGTTCGATATTCAAGCAGGATGAGGCCTTACTGCACCTAAGCCCAAACCCCATGCTCCTAAACCCAACGACCAATCCGAATCGTTTGAACGCTAGGTTCTAGGCCCTAGAACTCAGATTTCCGCTAGAGACGAAAGGCCACCTTACAACACCCTGTAAATTGTGGTAAAATCCTACCATGCCTGTAAACTTCATACATCACCACAAGGCCTTCCCCCTCGCAGAAACACAAAGAAGACTCGCAAACCCCAAACCATATCCTATGAATCCACCCCTAAACCCTTGACCCTAAACCCAAAACTCCAAAACCCCTAAACCCTAAGTCCTTGAGCCAAGAGTCCAAGATCCCAAGCCCTAAACTCTTCAGAGGCGAAGCTTTGCTTATCCCTTTACCCACAGGGCACAATATCGCTTAAGTAAGGATAAAAACATGTAGTAGGGAATTCAGAGGTGCTGGGCTCTCTGTACGTGTCCATCGCATAAGAGCATTTGTATATACAGCAATGTAGTAGAAAATGGGTGAACATTACATTATGTTTTACATATCTTGTAGCATGCTATAATGCATCATAACATAACATAGTTTATTAGTATAGCACAACACAACATAATTTCTGACAATGTAGTGTAAGTAGACCGTAACTTTACATACATACGTCCATACATACGTACCTACATCTATATGCACACACACACACACACACATACACATGCACACATACATGCATGCATGCATACATGCATACTGAGAAACATACATACATACAGACATACCTACATACCTACCTACATACATACATGCACCTATATTTTCTCAAAGCCCCGAAGCTCTGGACCTGCCGGCCCCGGGCATCCCAAGTCGGAGGTGTCGCTGGCTGGCGCCAAGGGTCGATGAAGCACCGAAGCCCGTTTCAAAGGTGCCCAAGGCTCGGCTCCTACGGTTTAGGTAGGGTTTGAGGGTTTGGGGTTTAGGGTTTATAGGGGCTTAGGGCTTCAGGGTTTAGGGTTTGGGGTTTCAGGGAGGGTTGAGGGTTTACGGTTTAGGATTTAGGGTTTAGGGCTCAGGGTTTCAAGTGTGACCTCGGCTGGGTTTCTTGAGTTTAGTCTTTTGGGTTTAGGGTTTAGGTAGGGTTTCGTCTTTTGTGTTTAGGTTTTTAGGGGTTTAGTCGTTAGGTCGGGTGGGGTTCAGGGTTTAGGGCGAGGCTGGGTTCCTTCTGAAGGGCATTCAGGGTTCCTTCTTACGGGCTCTAGGGTTTCAAAGGTGCCCAAGGCTGGTTCCTTGAGTTTAGGGTTTGGGGTAGGTTCCTTGGATTTAGGGTTTAGGTTGGGTGTAGGGTTTGGGTGCGGCCTGGGTTTAGGATTTGCAAGGTGCAACAAGCAAGGATCTGTGACGATAACAGCGATCGCAGTTTGTCAACGAAGAAAACACAGCTTTCAAGCCGAAGCCAACCCCCAAATACCCTAAGGCTTTCAAACCCTAAACACCTAAACCCCTAAAGCCCTAAACCCTAAACCGCAAAAGCTTTTGACGCCCCCAAATTTTGAGATCTAAAGCCTAAGCAGAGCAGAAGCCTTCCCAATTCCCACAAAGCCTATGAGACCTACCCTACCCTACCCTACTACTCCCCTACCCTACCTATCTACCCCCTACCCTATCAGACAACCTGTCAAAGACCTGCGTGACGACCTCGACATGATTAGCATTGGGCTTGGGAGGCGGAAAGGGTACACTATGACCACTGGGGAGCGAAAATTCTTCAGACCGGACCTACCGCAATATGCTATAACCCCTAAACCCCCCATCCCCTAAAACCCTCCCCCCCAAACTCTCAACCCAAGACCCTCAATCCTAACCCCTAAGCCCTAAACTCTCAACCCTTAGCCCTTTCCAGGCCGCCCCAGCTGCAGTTTCCGGACTCGCCTCGACTTCTGCCCCAGTCGCCCTGACCTCGCGCTCCGGCCGCGATTGCTTTACGGGGTTAGCGAGTACCATATTTGAATACTTTTACTGGGTCCTTTTCCGGAACAATGTTTATTCTCATGTCTCCTTGGTGACTTCAAAGCAGATCGCTGTTCACCCGTAACATCGGTCGAAACCTCTGAAACCCTAAACCATAAACTTGCGACAAGTTCTAAAGCTCCCAAACCCTACAATCGAAGCCCTACAGTACACCCTTTATAAACCTCTTAATTGACTTGAAATCCGCAGAGCCCGAGGTTGTCGGCCAGACATTTCCCGGACGCGAGCTTTCCAGACATGCCTCATGAAGGGTTGATACTTTCGGGTTTAGGGTTTCGGAATCCGGTTCATAGCCTTAGCTGTGAGGGTGTAGGGTCTGGTTTGTTCCATAACCTATAACCCCTATTAGGGGACGTATAACCCACATTGGGGGACTTATGGTCCGTCTTTGGGGACTTATAACCCACAGTGGGGGACTTGCACTACCCACGAACAACCTAGTTTGGGGGATATGGTTGGAGGTTCTTCGCCCGTGTTCCGGTGGCCCCAGCTTTGACACACTTGCCACCTTCGGCGATGCTTGCAGTACTCTAGGGGGCTGAAAGGGTTCCTGCAAAGGATCCCTTGAAAGGGTTCTGATAGGGGTTGCTGTAAGTAATTTGAGTAGGGTTTGGGGGTATATTATGCCATAACAATAATAAGGAAACGACCCAAAGCCCTATTCAAATTATTGAGGTTTTTGCAGTAGACATCGTAAGTTCTGGAATGGTCCTTTCAAGATTCAATGAGTTTTCCCCAGCAGTCGGAAAGTTGTTTCGATTTGCCCTGAAATCAATTCGATACCAAGCTTTGTGTGTACAATTGCTTGAATTGGGCCAAAAAATACGACCGCTCCCAACACTCTGCTCCCAGAGACTTTGGGTCGTTCAAAGTAATTAACGAAAGAACCTTAATGGTCTATGCCTATGCTCTAAGAGTGCTTGACCTTACTTGCCTTCTAATCCAAATATCCTAAGCTACATCCCTGAAGTTTCAATCTAAGAGCAGGTCAGGTCATGGTCTGCCGGCCCAAGGACACGCTCGAAATTCCATCTGCATCTTCAACCGCCCTTTAGGGTTGAGGGTTTCGGGTCTAAGCTTTGCAGAAGTCCTAACGCTTCGTTGTTCTTAAGTGTTTCCTAGAGATGAAACTGCAACTCCTCAATCCAGAAGCCCAAACACCCCATGACTCAGAAACCCAATTAACCAAGCCCCAGAACCCCCAGGCCATGTCCCATAATTACCTGAAACCGTATATCAGCCCGAAGCTCCGTAACCCCGAACCCCAAGCACACAAAGCTTTTGAGTACAACCGCAGAGCCCAAACCGCCAACCAACACTCCAAACCCTGAACATCCTCACCTGCAGGCTTAACCCCCAACAAACATGTCAATACCCTGAAACCACCAAGACCCCAACCCTTTCAACACCCTGAAGCCAGAATTCATCCATTGTAGAACCATGGTTAAACCAACACGTAAAGTTCTAAAACGCCCTAAACCCTAGGCCCTAAAACGTTAAAACTTAACCCCAACGCCATGGCACACGGCGGGTCGCCGAAGCGCTGGCGACGCCATGGCAAGATCGAGGCCTCGCTGGGTTCTCTTGGGTTTTAGGCATCAGTATAGGGAGGCTTTTTCATAACAAGAATAAGAACAAGAGTAAGTAATGATAATTAAGGTTATACATAATTAAGAAGAACAAGACTAAGAAGAGTATCCAGAAGAAGAAACACAATAGCAGTAATAATCATTGACATACAAATCAGAAAGGTGTTGTAAAGCGTTTCTTGTCGTATTTAGTTTAATCGAAGTATTCAAACATAATATACCCCAGAGAAGTTGTCTGATTGTTAAGGGCCGCTTTATAGGATTGTATGGAATCTTGTTTCATGTTCGCCTTGATTGAAGGTGTTTTAAGAGGGCTTGGATTTGTTTTTGGGTATTTTGGGGCTTTGGAGGGTTTATGGGTTTTTAGAGTTCAGGGTTCAGGGGTATGACAGGCTTTTCAAGGAATTGGCAATCAGAGTTTGCCATTGAACAGTTTTTAGTTGAGTCTGGGCACAAGAGTTGCCTGTTGTATACGGAAACAGCCTGAAACCGTGAGCCTTGTGCACTCAAAACCTAAGCCATGAACCCTCTAAACCCATCTTACACCCCAATCCCCCAAAGCTCTAAACCCTCGCCCTCCAATCCTTCACAGGAGGGGCGGAGCTTCTGGAGGATCCCGACCCGAGTACTGCAGTGGTGTCTTGGTGATTAAAAAAGCCTAGAAGAGGGGCTTTAGAGTGTAGGGTTCACGGAACAGGGGCTTTAGACCGTAGAGTTTAGGGACCAGGGGCTTAGATTTTATGTTCACACCCACAACTAAGGAAGAGTCGGCTTGCTGGTTCGGGTGCTGCTGTTGTCCTGCACCGCCGCTCCCTGGATTTAAGTTTTGTGCTAGGCCTCAGGTTTGGGCTTAGTTTGGTATAGTGCCTAGACAGCTCAGGCCTTGTTGTTCCCGTGCTCTTGGGATTTCGGATGTGTAAGTCGAAGATGTAGCATGCAACGTGACCGGCAGCCCTAGCACCCATCGGGCCTACAAGGCCAACGAGCTTCAACCCTAAACCTTGAGGAATATTTTGTTTTTGGTTCGGGCCCTGAACCAAACCCGAACAATCCTAGTACCCCTAAACCCCCACATCCTAAACCCTGAACCCGTACAAAGAGGTCCTTCCAAGTGCCTCGCGAATCTGAAGTCTGGAAGCCTTGCATCCCAAAACTAGCTTTCTAGGGTTAAGGGTGCTGAGTATGTCGGAGTTGAGGGGGAGTTTAGTGTATTTTGGGGTTGAGGAAACTGAGGGTTTTTGGGGTACCCTTTGGATGCTGGGGTCTCGCTTTCTTCGGACAGCAGGAACAAGGGTGCTCTTGTCTTTAAGGGGTCACTGGGAAACCTAGGAATGCTTATGGGGCCTAGCATCATTACAGCCAGCTATGTTTGGGTACGCAGGACTAGGTTCTGAAAGTTCCGCAGAACTGGCTCGTTGTGTTAGCCGTATTGACAAGGGGGCTCCCTTTCAGTTGAAGCTGAGCTTCATCACCCCGAAATGATGCCAGCTGGAGGACCTACGCCCTTGAATACTTACTAACAATAAATAAACCCAAGACCCTCATGACAAGAGACCTCATCCGTCATAGATCTATTACCCGGGCACTGGCAAACAACCCCCGCTAGGTGCTGGTCTGCTTGGCAGCCACATCCGGACCGCCAGAGGAAACGGGGACCTTTGGGGCCCCTCCCTAGGGTTTAGGTTCTAGGGGTTTAGGGACGGGTTTATGGCTTCAGGTTTTGGGTTTAGGGATTCGGGTTTAGGTTGAGCCTGAAACCCCAGACCCGAAGCATGCGAAGACCAGAATCCCCTGGACTTCTACACACCCAAGGGTGGAGAAGGGGATGGCTATCTTAGAGAGACTTCTAGGCATCCAGGCTCATTGGCCGTAGTCGAGGGTTCAGAGTTTGCAGGTTTGGCTGTCAATTTTGATAGTCCAGGGCTTCGGGTTTGTGGCCGGCACAAGTGGCCTGCGGCAATCCTTACAACAACAGCTTGCTTTTCAGACTCTATATTGAAAATTAACATCGACCCCACAGCCCTGTTCTAATTTTGGAGGCCCCTGTATTATCTGGGAGTTTCCGAAAATTAGGGGACCCTGATATAGTACCCTAAATAGTAGGATCCTTATTATCTGGACCCCAAAATAAGGTACCCCTATTTTCGGAAACTCCCATGTCGTCCTAGCATTCGTTGACAGGCCAAGCCATCTTTGAGCTTGGCGCTGGCCGACGACCTTCCAGCCCGACCCTTAGGGGAGTTCTTGGGGTTTAGGGGCTGGGTTTGGGGTTTAGGGGTTGAGGCCTCGGTAGTCGTAAGACTTTACATACAGGGGCTGGCTACAGGTGCAACCCGGGGTTGCTCGTTATTTTGACAAGTTTTATGCGAAACTCGTTAGAGTCGTTGAAGGTGTGAGCTGGGCTTATGAGTTCTTGGGGGCTCATCGTTATAGGATTCGTGTTAGGGGTTATAAGAATAATTATCACAGTGTTCAATGGGGTTCCGGAGGGCTGTGTGGGCTTGAAGGATTCGGGACAGAAGCGAGCTTGTCTTAAACCCTCAACAGTGCTTGAGGTCATTTTCGGGTTTTCGGACACGGGTTTTGAAGGGTTCAGAGTTGATTTTGTGGTTGTTGTGGGCTTGTCGCACTGTTGCTTGCTGGGAGTCTTGTCAGAGTTCAGGATTTCGCAGGGTTTTTCAAGGTTCGTTGTGGTGTTCGAAGAGTTGAAGGTTTTGGGAACGATTTCAGCATGGGTCCATGCGTTCGATAGGGTCCGAGATTCTGTGGAGGGCTGGGTTTTTTTTGCCCCCCGTAGGGTTTTTTTTAGACCCCTTCCCGAAGGCTGTTTCTGCGCCCTGGGTCGGCCTCCTGGTCCCTCGTGGACAGGGTCCGAAAAAAGCCCTCCTCGCCAACCCACTGCTTTTTCTATCCCCTGCCATGCACCCAGGACGAGAAAAAGCCTCGCCCTGCCTTGATAGGGCTTTAATCCCGCCCTGTGCAGCCCGGACCCAGCCTCCCGTGCCACCTACACGTCCCGAAAAAAACCCTTCTCGACCCGACGGTGGGCTTTTAACGGGCCACTGTTTGACGCCCCATGTCCCGAAAAAAGCCTTCTCGACCCAACTGCGGGCTTTTTTTGGATCACTGCACGAGACCCCCGGCCGGACAGGTCTCAAAAAAAGCCCCCGACCCTTCGCTAATTGGATGCAAATGGCCCCCTTAATAGCTTCAAACGCGCTTCGGGGGCGCAGGGCCAGAATAAAGCCCCACGGGGGGCGGTAAACACCCTATGAGGCCTAGGAGAGCTTTTTCACACCCCGTGAAGGCTCTCTTTACGTCCTGTTCGAGCCTCAGGGCCTCTCCAGGGCCGCTTGCGACTTCATACACTTGGCCCCCTCTAAGTGAGTGAAAGAAAGAAAGAGAGAAGGAAAGGAAAGAAAGAAATAATGAAAGAATGACAGAATGAATGAAAGAAGGAATGAAAAAACGCAGAGGGGCCTACCCGGGTTTCGGGGTTTGAGGCGTTTGGGAGTATAGTGAGGCATGTGGTATGGTCCCCTGGTCCCGTGTTTCCCGGTCCCGCAGTCAGATTTTGGTTGTATTTGTGTCTTTGTGTAACAATAGTAGAATAAGTTCTGTAGTATAACATATTATCATAAAATATGTGATAATATATAGACAATATACATATTTAATACATGCAAAAAAGGTTTATAAGAATATATATAATATAATGTAATATAATATAATATAATATAATATGATATAATATAATATAATATAGTATAATATAATATAATATATTATAATTTATTATAATATAATATATTATAATATAATATAATATAATATAATATAATATAATATAATACAATATAATACAATATAATATAATATAATATAATATGATATAATATAATATGATATAATATAATACGATATAATATAATATGATATCGTATAATATGATATAATATAATATGATATAATATAAATGTCCATATAATAAATTACTATACTATGATATGTATAATATAATATAATATAATTGAGAGACTAGAATATGATATATATAATATAATATAATATATTATATATGATATAATATAATATTATTTTTATAATCTGATATCTAAATAGGATACAATATAATATGGAGATAGTAAATATGACATAATAGAAAGATATAAATAATATATAAGAATAATAATGATATAATATAATTGCTATAATAACTAATGCTATAATATACTATGATATTATATAATATGCATAATATATATGAATATAATAAGAATATATATAATATAATATGATCAAAATAATATGATATAATATAATATGATACAATATAAAATAATATGATATAATATAATATGATATAAAATAAAATAATATAATATAATATATTTTAATTTTTTATAATATAATATATTATAATAAGATAAAATATAATATAATATAACATAATATAGTATAATATAATATAATATGATATAATATAATATAATATATTATAATATATAATATCACATAACTAGTTTTTATTATATACTAAATATGTGTTGTGTTTTATGTATTCTACGTATAATAAACTATAACATATAGGTTTTGAAAACATATTAAAAGATACAAACGCTTCCATTACTTAGTTACTATTCACTTCTTTTTTTATTTATTAGTACTTTATTCATTATACAATCTAGCCCAGCCAATTTTTTGGGGGTATGAAATCGCCAAACCCATGATGCGGCATTGTGCAACACCCGTTTAAAGCCGTTGCAGTTTTTCAAAAACCTGATCGGACCCGTGTTTTTGCAAATGGATGGGGGCCTGCGCCCCAACCCCCCGGCTCGTTTAGATGCACAGAGCTTTGAAAGAACATTTTGTCTCAAAGCCATCATGCGATCTTTTGTTGTCGACCCCAACTCCATACATGAGCGGAAGTTTTTGTTGCAAAGCGCTCGGCCATGTTTCCCTTGCAAAGGTGTGGCTCGGCCTTGGTTCTTGGTTCGGCTGCGAGTGCTGCAAATTGAAACATTTCTGCGTTTGCAGAGGCGGAAATACTGTCAATCACAGCATGTCTGCGTTGCCAACGTCTGCAAATACTGTGAATACAGCATTTCTGCGTTGCCACAGGCTGCATATACTGTAAATAGCAGCATTTGCGCCCCCCCCCCCACTTGCAAACACCATTCTGAAGCCGCTGAATAGTGAGCCAAACACCATTCTCGCACGATAGGTTTTTAAAAATGTATGCGCTCCGGAACCGCCGCCTCCGGGCCGAGTGTGCTCAGAAGCCGCCAATCCCTCATGCCTTGGGGGGGGGGGGTGGGCCAGGGTGGGAGTAAAGGGCTCGAATCCTTCGTGCTTCGGGATGCGGTCCCAGCGTGGGGGTGAGGGGCCTCTACTCCTCGTGCTTCGGGGAGGGGTCCTAGGGTGGGGTTTTAGGGTGGGAGTGAGGGGCCTCTAATCCTGGTGCTTCGGGAGAGCTAAGGCGTCGGGGCTGAAGGGCTTTACAGGGTTAAAGGCCTAGGGGAATGAGATGTGTAGGCCCCACCTAAACTCGCACCATAAACCCTCAACCCTACACGTTAAAACCTGGACTGGCACCTTAAACCCACAAGCCTGACCCTAAACCCTTCACTTGCACCCCAGACCCTAAACCCAGACCTAAACTCGAAGCCCGCAGTGTGGAGGTTCACTAGGGTTTTGTTTTTTGGGGTTTCAACATAGAAACTCCAAAATCCGGAATTAAGGAATCGAACTTGAGATATACAGGAATTCCGTTTATGATTTGATATATCTTCCCAGTCTTCCCGTTGCAGGTCACGCTCAGCAAGGGCAGTTTGCCCGGCCCGCCAAGCACTGAAGCGACCACCCCGGCGGCGACCACTTTGCAGCTGGGGCGAGTTTAGGGTTGAGGCTTCGGAGGTTGAGGGGTTTAGGGTTGAGGCTTTGGGGGTTTAGGGGTTTAGGGTTTAGGGTTGAGGCTTTGGGAGTTTAGGGTTTTGGGTTTAGGACTTCGGTGTTGCAACGGGGTTTGGGAGTTTAGGGGCGGGAAGTTTTCTGGCTCTAGGTTCCCGGGTGTAAGGTTTTGAAGCTAAGATTTAGCGTGATTTAGCAGTATGCATGGGGTTGGCTAGGCTGCTTCTTGGGGTTGAGTAGTTAAGTTAAGTTCTCGATCTGGAGTTCAGGATGAAACTTGCTGATGCAAGTTGAGTGCTTTCTTACATTAATTAGCACTCTTCGCTTAAACTCTACACACACGATGTTATGTGTATGACCATGCCATTTTTCAGCGTGCACTTCCGGTGTCTTAGGCTGTATAGGGGTCGGTCTAGGAGTATTAACGGGCCGTAAAGTACTGCTTCACATTAGGGTTTCTTGTTAGGTGCTATTCGGCTTTCAGGGTTTCGAAGTTTTTTGCTTTATCCAACTTCGCCCTTGAAATCCTCAGGTAGTACCCCGAGGCATTGCTTAAAGGGGAAGAGGGGTGTGTCCTGATTGCAACCGCATATTTGGAAACAGCCCAGGCCTACAACAAGCATCGGTGCCGCCACAGCAAACAGAGACCTGGGGAATGGCCTGCGTCATCACGAAGGTGGGGCTTGAACATCCTTGAATACCTGTCAGTTAAGAGCATCCTCTTCCAGTTCGTCTATACTTCCAGGAAAGTATATACTGAGCGTTTCCAAACCCAATTCCAATCACTCAGGCTCTTCAATTATGCCTGAATCCTCGAGCCTGAGCCCTGAAGCCAGCGACCTCCAATCAGAAAGCTGCGCAAAAACTCCCAAACGCTACATTCTGAAGTGCGAGTTCCTGAAACTCCCGAGATCCCGGGGCCTAAAGTCTAAACCAGAAGTAGGCTTGAATCAAGTACTTGGAAAGCTACACCACGCATTTAAACTTGGCACCCCAGAGCTTGCAGAACCACATCAAACCCCACACAACGCGATGAAACCGCACAGACTTCTACAAAACTTGATATACAACCTTTCATTCTGAACCCTGAATGCTAAATCTTGTACTACCCTAAAACCCAATCATATCCTATAACTATATCTACAACAGCGTGTAATACCCTAGAAACGCGAAACCTTGCCAAGATGCCGGCGGCGAGCCGGCAATCATCCGCTACACGCTGCCGGCACGGCCACTGCCTCGGTCTCGGGGGTGGGTTTCCTTGGGATTCCCTCTTGAGGGTTCCTTCAAAGAGGTTCGACTAGGGTTACGGTAAGGGTTCTATACTATGATAAGGGTTTACCTTGGCCTTTTCGCAAGGCTTCATAAACGGCTCGCAGTCTATAGGGTTTTCAGGTGTTGTTTTCGCTTTCAAGATTTTCAGGGTTTTATGGAATTCATAAACGGTTCTCAGCAGCACGTCACGTTATGGCGTTGGCATTGTTGATGCCCATTCCCCTGGCTCTTAGCCGGAACCGATTCTCCTTTTGTACGAATTTCTTGAAGGCATCCTACCATAGCACTCCTTGCAGAGGGGGCTGTTCGGTTAAGTTCCAAAACCATAAATGAGCAACCCTCAACCCTAAATCCACTGAGGCAGACATCCTTGGACATTGACCTGGTCGTGGCCGCCTTCTCAGAAAACCTGCGGCTTGACTTTGTGTGTAATTCAAGTTTGCAGACAGACCACCTCCCGCCCCGCCCAGCCAGCAGCTCCCATCGTTCTTTTCTTTTGGTTGTGGGATCTCCTTGTTCACAATGAATGACGAGAGAAACAAGGGTGCCCTTATTGGTGAAGGGATGCTTGGAGACCTAATAAAGTTAGGAGTTCGGCTTTTCAGGTTGATGGGTTCGTATCGTTCAGGACGTGCGTGTTTGGGTTTAAGCTTATAAGGTTCGGGCTTGACTATGTGTGGCAAGAATGGAGTCACTGGCCCCTGATACCCCAGACCGTTGTTTGCTTCTGGGCAGATGTGGGTTCTTTAACGTCGAACAGACTTCTCATCCACGGACACTTCCACAAGTTCAGTCGACCAAACCTCGCATGCTTTCCATGTCATCCCTATAACCCTAAACCCCGAGTACTAAGCCCTCAACTCGGAGGAGTGATGACAATGGGCACAGCAGATGGTTTCCGAATTGCTCAGTCATACTCTTGTCCTACCCGTGACCCTGAAGCCTTAAACCCAACCCGAAAACTTTAAACCTAAAACTCCAAGCCTTAGACTCTAAAGAACCCTAAGCTGTGAAACTCCCCCAAGACTATCCCAAGCTTAGGAGTTGGGTCGAGCCTATGCTGGCACGTGTCTCCCCGGGTGCCGAGCTGCGACTGTATTGCAGCTTCTGACAGCAAAGCAGGGTTTAGCGTTTCAGGTGCGGTGGGCTTTCATGTTTTGTGACGCATGGTTGATAGCTGTATGTCATATTGAGGTTTCAGAATATGGGATTCATGTCTCGTAATTCGGGCATCCGTATATACTTTGATTGAGGGCTGGCTGAATCGCTATGGATTTGATGTCGTCTTCAAACCTGCTAGCAGTTTCGTGTTGCGGGGAGCCTGAAGCATGTGTGCGACGTTGTTCTTTGGACTGCATCGTGGCATCGTAGTTCTGTAACTTACGATTGCAGAATGTAGTTCTGGTTCTGGGGGCCTGAACCGATAGCTCCTTGCAAGCAATGTTGCGAATCCTGGATGGATGGGTTTTAGCTTCAGGCGGCCTCCAAGCACCCATGCCCGCGAATGAGCCATTCGAATCAGAGAGTCCCTCGAAGCATGTGCAACAATTAAGGCTTTGATAGCGTCGTAAACGGTGCACAAGCCGTGGCCTCACCGGCTTCAACGAGAATTGTTAAGCCGTTCACTTGTGACGGAACAGGGTCCGTACATCATACGACACACACACACACATACGTAGTGACATGAACAAGGCTTTGCCCAGCACTAAACCCCAAGCCCTAAACCCCTAAGCCCAACACAACCCAGCCCAGAAGCACCATGTCCTTTGCATGGTGTTTGGGCCCAAAGCCCCTCCAACATCGAAGCTCACAAAACCTAGCCTCAAGCCAAGTACCCACTCGTGAATCTCCGTCCGTCCGTTTGTGCATCCCTCCGCCTTCGCCCAACAAGTTCTGCGGGACAATGGCAAGACACTCTTTTACCCACTGGGTTGCTACTACAAGGGCTGGCGAACCCTAAGTAAGCCTTAAACCATCCTAAACCCTAGGCCTTATAAGCCCTGAACCCACAAAGCCGCCAACCAAAGGCAAAGGCCCCAAGCTCAATGACCCGCGCTGCTTGCGCATCGACAATTACGGTGGCGAGGAGTGGATTTGGGTTTAGGGCATACTTCGAACCAAGCAAGCATGTCTACAAGTGTGCTATAGACTAATAGAGTTTCATGGTCTTTCGGCGTTTGGAGGGTTTGGGAGCTGATACGTTCAGGGGAGCCTACCCAAGCCCTACATAATCCGATCATTAGCGCCCGCGTATCACAAGAGTCTCTTGGGTCAGGGCCAACGTAAAAGCTCATAGACCTTCCTGCGTCAGCTGCGGGTTGCGCCGCACGTGTCTTAATCAGAGGTTTCATAGGCTTAAATTAGGGACTCAAAAAGCACATAAGCATAAGCATTCTATAGGGATATCCCAACCTTATTGGCCTTCCTTTTAAGGGGGCTTATATGGGATGTCCCTATCGTTGTTTTTGCTTATGTGGTTTTTTGTGGCCCTATTAAAGATTCAGGAAATAGGGTTTGATTGTGGGAAGACGATCGCACCGTGATCCCAAACCCTAAGCCTTGAGTCAGGAGTACGCATACCTCACCCACATCACTCACTTCTACGACGAGCTCGCGCCGATCACGGTCTTTACCCTAGGCAGCATCTACAACGAAGACTGGCTGCTGGGCTTCGATTTCGCTTCTGGTTCAAGGTCTAAGGGTTGTCATCATCGGCAAAAGACACTATTATGACCATTTAGGCCCCTGCATTGCAATTAAAAGCCTCGAAACCCAAAGTTGGAAACGATTTCATTTAGGGTCATCATAGTCGAAAAACCTTGTTCTGACCCTTAAGGTCCCTCTACTGCAATGAAAATCCTCGATACTCGACACCCAAAGTTGGAAGTCCCCTGCACATGTTGCACGAGGGGGAGGGGCACTCCAGAAGCGATCCTTGGTTAAACTCTCAACCCCTAAACCACACAACCTCTAGTAGGGAACATAAAGTTGGAAACCGGATTAAGGCCAAGTAGTGCTGGGATTCCCTATACAGTACTCTTAAGGACTGAGGCTATTGGGTTTCCAACTTTTTGGCTTCTACTGTACACCCCTAAGCACCTGAGCCCTAAGCCCTGCCCTCCATCACTCTGAACTACTTCTCGAGTTGCCGGAACGAGGTATTGGCTCAAGTGTCGGAAGCTGTGCGATGGCTGCAAACTATTCGGTGTAGGATTTAGGAGTATTCAGGACTTTTATGCTTTCCTTGCCGAGGTTCGCGTTTCGGAACTGAGATCAAGGATCTACGGCTTCGGAAAAAGAATTGGAATTAGGCTTCGTGACTTCGATATACGATGCGGACCAAGAAGTTTGGAAAACGCATCTCCACAGGCCTTTAACCCCTAAGCCCGAACCCAAACCCCTTGAACCCTTAAATCCCGTACTAGTAGCCCGAGACCTTAATTAATCAACTCCCTAAACCCCCAGCCTAAAACCCAAACCTCGGAAGCTCTACAGCTCTGCGCCGCCAAGCTTTCGAGGTCGGCTTTCGACTTCAGGTTTAAGATTCCCTATGATTGTAACTGGAGAATGCCAGGGGGCGGGGGTGCCTCGGAATCGCCACCTCCAATTCTCCACATGCTAGCTTCCGCAGGGGGGGGAAGGAGGAAGTGGAGGTAGATTTCGGGAACGTCAGCTGCGGTTGGGTGTTCAGGGTTTTGGGGTTCATAAGGTGTGTAAGGTTCAGGGTTTCAGGTTTGGCGGTTAGGGTTTAGGGTTCCTGGTGTCGGTCGATTTCGTGCTCGAAAGTTTTCCGGTTTTAGGCTAGGGCCTAGGGGCTTTGGAGCTGGACGCCCTGAGTCTGTAAGGCCCCAAAAAACCACAATTCCAAAGCTTCTCTTTACGGTTTTACCCTTCATAGAGTCCTGGTGAGTCTGAAGGGTTGCAGTAGTCGGTGCTAAATCCTGAAACCTCAAACTTGCAGAGCCGTTTAGAATTTAGAGCCCTAGAACATCCTACAACCCAGCCCTGGACAGACCTTGAAACCTAACCTCCTTCCGAGGAACTTCGTTCTGAGCCAAATCGACACTCCAGAAAAGCGCCAGGGCTTCTCCGGCTTTGCACCTCGCCCCATCTTGTCGGGTTCCGGAGTGATTGTTAACGGGATTTCAATCATGGGGCTCATTGTTTAGGGGTTGTTGGGGCTTTGGGTTTTCATGCTGATAGTTTGCAGGATTGTGCTGGCAGGTTGGGGGGAGCTGTTCAGTTTGTGCAGTTTTGGGTCAGCATTTATGATGCTTTTGGCTGCGAGCGTTGGGGGATTCTTCACGGCAGGCCTCTGTCGGAAAAGGTTTCTGAGCCAAAAAGCGGCAAGCCCAGCTAAAACCCTCGACCCCCAAGTCAAAACATCCTAATCCCAAAAGGCTCCAAAGCCCTGAACCCCTAAACCTGACTTGGGGGCCGGGATACCACTAATTGGAGTACAATACTTTATGCCTTTTTTCCTTAAAGGAACCATTTTGAAATACAAGTTTATACTTCTTTCTCCCTGGCAACTGAAAAACCCAGTAAACCATTCCCAAGCCCTAAAAAGCTTCCCTGAAGCTCAGGTGACGATGGCACACCAAGCGCCGGACAGTTTCATGGAGTTTGAGGGCTACTTCCAACTGAAGTCCTACCGGTACCTCGGCTTTGGGGCTTCAAGCCCTTGGGGGTTTGCGGGCTTGTAAGGATTTATCGTTCGGGTTCAGAGCTTCCGGACTAAGGATCGACAGTTGGGGGTTCGGCGGTTTTTCTTGGCGTTCTTCTGGTTGGCTCTTAGGACTGCAACTTTTGGGTTTCTATATTAACTATAAAAAAGGAGGCTAAGAGTTTAACTTCTAGGAGGGGACTTCTGAAATTTTTGGTTTGCTGAGTTTGGGTTTTGGCACTTTGGGAAGCCCTGGGTCCTTCGGCTATGGAGCTTTCAGGGTATCGGGTCCATGGCGTCTTTCTTGTTTCGGGCTGCGCCCACAAACCCCCTGAACCGTACATGAGCCGAGGCTATGGCCTGAGCAGCCCCTAATCCTAAACACTGAAGCCCGTAAGCCGCAAGCCTCAGTGCCATAGAGCGCTGAAGACCCGAAACCCTACTGTTAGGAGCCTAAACGATTACCAATATGATGTTGAGGGTTCCTTATTGTGGTTACACCATAAAGGGGCCCAAAGCCCTATTCTAATTAATTATTAAGGCCCCTTTGTTACCTAAAGCGCTGAAGCCCGGAACCCTACAGGAACCATGCCGGTGGACAGAATACTGCCGCCTGCCGTGCGAGCATCACGCCCCTGGACAAGTGGTTCGAGCGTTTCATCCCAGTGAGCCTCAGCTTTTGGATGTTTTCTTGCAGTGCTCTACAGGGGCTCCGACTTTAGGGTTTAGTTGAAGTTCTTCCGGAAAACCTATGCGATTTGAAAGGTTTGTCTTGTCTGGTCGAATGGTCAGATGTCTTCACCCATTTTATAGACAGGTGTCGCAAGTTCCCGCGATGGATGGCCGAATTACTTGGATTCAAGGACCGTAAACGTCAATTCCTGATTCGCTAGACTACCGCTGAAGAAAAAACCCTGCATTACCCATAATTCGCAATATAACATCAATCCCATAGTATAGGATCCTTAAGGTACTGCAAGGAGATATATATATATATATATATATATATATCATCATCAACCGTATGTAGCCGTGAGCCCTTCTGACTTATCGGAACCTGGCTTCCTTCGGCGAGGCTCCCGGTAGATCCACGCTTTAAAGGGATTTTTTTTTCAGTCAAGTCTCTGCTCCATGCGACCTGCCTATATTATACTGTGCTTGGTTATGTTATATAAAATATTATAGCATAATGCAATATAATATAGTAATACAACTCGGTTTTCGTAGGCTAACATCCTGTCTACGTCTGAATATTTCGTAAAACTATTTCCCTACAGTGCCTAAGTACTTTTAGCATCCCAAAGCCCTGATTTGTGGGATTTAGCCCATATTCCTCAAAGCAGAGCAACAGTCTACGGCGAAGCCCTTCAAGCAGCAGGTGCCCAGAGACTCCAATACCCCTTAATTAAGGAATATACCTTAAACTATGGTAGGACCCCTAACATGATTCAAGGTGTAATCTCTAATTGAGGGATATTGGAGTCTCTGGGTAACCGGACCTGCAAATGAATCTTACCCTCAGGCCTGAACTCCTATAATGCTTAGTCGCCTTAGTCACGGTCAGTGCCGCTTTAGTCTGCTTTTTGGGGTTCATGGGTTTAGAGTTCAAAATTGACGATTAGGGCTTAGGGCGTTTAAGTTTAAGGCGTTTAAGGGGTTCAGGGTTTGCGAATTAGGGCTCATTGTTCAGAGTGGACCCGGGCAAGGAACCTCACCATCGCTCGGCACACTGGCGTCCTCTACAACCCCATCTTCGCCGTCTCGCGCGAGAAGATCCGCCAGTCATTCGGCCAAACACCGATGAGAAAAAACCATGCCAAGTGAAGTATGTACATTTAGCGTAAATCGGAGCTATATGACATACTATAATTGAAACCCTCTAAACCCCCAAACCCCTCAGCCACAAACTCCCTTTCAATCAACCTGCCACCTCAGGCCTCGAACCCTGAATTGACCCCTCGCCCGAAAGCCTCGTCTGGGACATGGGTAGTTGTCAGAATTATGGTCCCTTTTTGGGTACCCTAAATATTAGGTGCCGTGCTATATTAGGGATCCAAAAAGGGACCATAATTTTGACAACCACCCGCATCCATGTTCTCTGCATATCGGTTTGATGCCTGATGCATCAGTGATTTGGCTCAAAGCAGCTGAATTTCAATTTGGGCTTAGGGTTTAGGATGATGCTTGGATGCTGATTGCATTAAGGTTTAGGGTTTAGGGGTTTAGGGTTTAGGGTTCCGTGGATAGTAGACCCGCTTCAGAACACCCCCCCAGCTCTACAGGATACGGAAAGGATCGATTGGGGATTCAGAGTCGCGCCAATGCGACACTTCATAAGCCGCAAAAGCCCGAAAAGCAACAGTTGCTACATTCAGAAAGAAGTCTTATGACTTCACGGCGCGGTTTTAGATACCACAACCCCCAAAACCCGAGAGTTTTAGGGCTCCGGCCCTCGATGGAGCACGTCCTGCGCTGGCGTTTCACTGATGCCGGAGGCGGCGAGTGACGATGAGTTCGACTCTGAGCTCTTGTTAAGGAGTTTATTCTAAGTTACCATAACAGGGATCTATAGTAGATCATATGGTTTCTTTGTAACGGTAGCTTAAACTAAAAGGAACCCTTATGGTCTTATCGATCTCTTAAAGGAACCCTCATATATCCCTCATATGGTACCTCAAATCACATTTCTTAAGATGAGCCCAGGATTCTGGGTCCGATCTCGAGGGGCCTCCAGGCGAGACATGGCCTCTCTGCGGCTCCCACGCTGTGCCGCAGAGTGCCCATGGCTGCACCCGTAGCCCCAATCATAGGAGGCCACAAGGGGTTTTAGCCTATGGGGGTTTAGTGGGGATTATGGGAACCATATTAAGGACCTGTAGCCCCCGCCGGTATCCCCAAACTCTACTCACCTGGGGATCCAAAAACCCTACCGTCTGACCCTCAAAAAGGTAGGGTTTTTGGATCCCCAGGCCAAACTAAACCATGCAGAGTAGTGGTTCATGACCCTTTAATGATGGCATAATGTGGCGCCATCATACAAACTAGTAGATAGTATAGTTTAGGACCCCCTAATAGTGGCGTATAAACCTTAAAACCGCAGCACGATACGTTCTGGGATCCCCAGGCAGGGACACGGATGCCAGCGTCGACAGCGACGGCAGCGCGCAGTCGATCGAGATTCCTGGCATCTACGGCCTGCTGTCAGACCGACTTTGGAGGTCGAAGACGGATTTCTTGGCTCAGCCTTTGGGGGTTTAGGGTTTAGGGTTTAGGATTCCGATTCCTGGCCAGAATGAACTCCAATTCGGGGTCTGAATAATTAAAATAGGGTTAGGGGTATAATACACGGTAACTGTATTTAGGAACTGGCTCAGCCAGTATGAACCCCTCTAAGTAGGGGCCTGAAAAAATTGAATTAGACTAGGGTTCGGGGGTATATGATACGATGTATTCATGATTTGGAGCCCAGCCCCAAAACCGATGCTACTTGTGAAGGCCCCTACATGAGCTGTATAGGTTTCGGGCTGGGGATTTCTGGCGGTACCTGTTTACCCTCTTCAAATTCTGGGGTCGAGGGTTCCTTCACAAAGCAGCCAAGGAAAGCGAGATAGCACGCTTGCAGCCCCAGGAGGTCATGGATTATCTTCAGGAGTGTGCTGAAGGCAGAGAAGGACTCGATGCTTTTCAGTTCTTAGGGTTCATCTGGGCGACCAAGAAGAGGTGTGATCATCACGTGGTGCTGGTATGCCTGAAATGCCTCTTGTGCGTTTGCGTGCAGCTGCCAGGCACGATTATGATCCTACAAGAGTTGCATTTCGAATCGAACCACCCTGAAACAGGGAGGTGCGAGGAGCACGAGATTGATTTGCTTCACATGCTGATGTTGGGCCTTCTGGGAAGCTTCGAAGCAATTTTCTTTCTCGTACGTTACCGGTCGATCGTTTATTCCGGGATGTACCGTCTAGATCTGGAGAAGCTGAACAACATACCCGACTTCGTCCGACCTGGTCCGGTAATCTTCGGGCGTGTGTACAACATGCTCTGTTACAGCACGATGTGTTGGAGTAGCTTGCACTTGCTGTATCATGCACCCAACATGCTTGAAATGATCCTCAACTGCGTCGCCCTAGACTTCATGGTCGAAATGGACAACATGATGGTCACATCGGCAGACTACCACAAGCTGCAAAAGCACATCATGAGCGAGAAGCAGGAGAACGGACTGCGACAAGCAGGCCTCCCACCCAAGCGGTGGCATTCGGAGCAGAAGAGAGGATCCCGATCTGTATGTTTTTGCCACAATCTCTGGGCAACTCTACATCTGCTGTTCTTGTTGATAATCATGGTGAACTGCTTGCCTGGCATGTCCTTTCTGATTACAGGCTTGGTGCAGCTTCTGATAAACCGTGGCCGGCCTTGTACGCGTACTCTGCTCTGGCCGTTGTCGATTGTGTCAGAGTTTTGGGAAGAAGCCTTCCGTGTCACTGAGGCAGTCTAGGGCTTCAGGCTTTCGGGGTTTTTAGGGTTTGGGGTTTAGGGGTTTAGAGCTTCAGGGTTTAGGGCTAAGGGTTTAGGGTTCAGGGCTTCAGGGTTTAGGGATTTTAAGGTTTTGGGCTCCAGAGCTTTCTCAGAGCAAGGCTTCCGTCACCCGCAGTTGCACAGATCGCTGGTTGCCATTACCGGAGACCATGTCCAGGTGGAAAAAAGACACGGTCGGCAAGAGTCTAGAGCTTCTAGGGACGTGCTCAAGAAGGCAAGCCGACTTGCGAGTAGCAATCTTCTTATCATTCCTGAGAAAAACATGTTACCTAAAGTCCTAATTACCTGCACTATTTTGGGGGTGCCTTATAATACTTATAGTATCATGGCTCCAAAACCCTCTTCTAATTTTTACGGCCCCCCGCAGTAGGTCAGCCCCGACTGTGAGTTTGTGACAAATGCTGCCTTGAACGCTCTTGCAGTGTCTCGCTGGGTTTGGCAGCCAGCAAGCAAGATAGCAGCTTCACTCGCGCATGGTTCTAACACGTCCCGCGAAATTATGTTGGATTGAGCAACAGGTTGAGGACCCTATCAAGAAGTTTCTGGGTGCTTAGCAGAAACCTTCTCAATCCTTGACCCGAATACCCTGCAGCCCTCAACCCTCCAAACCCAATCAGACGACTTGCCTTGCCAGCCCTTCTTGCAAGGAAGCTTCCGGAAAGATTGCTTTTCAGTTTGTATTGGGGTCTGCTGCTGCAGAGGATCCCCGAATCGCAGGCAGGTCTCCTGATATCCCGACCCCAAACCCCAAATGCCCCAAACCCCAAATGCCCCTAACCCCAAACGCCCAATTCCTCAATCGTTGCCTAGCCACCCGTTTTCAATTCTTTCGCTGAGCAGTGAGGTATCCGAAGTCCATGTACGAGACTCTGCTGAAAGAAATCCTTCGTTGCACCGCCAAGGAGCACGAAGGCCACGACACAGGGTTTAGAGTTTAGGTCTCAAGACCCCAACTATCAAGGTCAGACTAGGTTGCCCAGTACTGAGTAGTGCCTACCTTTGTTTCCGTCACGGTTCGGTGCACTTCAATGAACTTTATTGCAGAGAAGAACCGGAGCCTGAATAGCAGCTTTGGAGGAGCTCTCATGCTTCGACCCTTCCACAGCGATGGTATGTATTCATTTTGCCATTCAAGCGGATGCCCAGAACTGCGACACCTACCCTAAACCCCAAACCCTACATCCTCAACCCAAAGCCCCCAAAGCCCCTAAACCCAACACGTAAACCCCAAACCCTAAACCCTAGACGCCGGACCCCCAACCCTAAACCCCAAGCCCTGAATCCTAAACCCCAAGCCCTAAATCCTAAACCCAAACTCCGTCCATGAAAACCGGTGAAACCCTGAAGCCCAGCAGGAAACCCAAAGCCCCTAAACTCCCAAACCCCCGAACACTAAACTTCCGAACCCTCCATGAAACCCGGTAACAGCCAGGCGTTGCAGAGGCGGGGCACTACCTGGAGAGAGCCTGGAAGCCGATGTTCCTGGGTTTCAATACTTTAGGGTTTAGTTTAGTGGTTTAGGATTTAAGGTTAAGGGTTCAGGGCTTAGGGTTTAAGGTTTAGGGTTTAGGGTTCAGGGGGGCTTACCCTTGTAAGACTTCAAGACCCTCAGACTCCAAGTATAGAAGCAACACTTGCTTCGCTCTCCAGTAATTACTAGCTATTTTGGGAGGTGGGGCATTCGGTAAGACTGCGTGTCCTCGGTGTTTGAAGGTGGATTTGTTGTGGTCTGTGCTGTAGTAGAGGGCTGAGGGATTTCAATTCATGGTTCTGGCTTAGGGTGTTTCTTTGCTGTATCGCCAACGATTGTTCTTAGGCATACGGATTTTTAAGATTACAACCTTGCGAGCTTGGGAGACAGAAGTTGAGATCGTTTGCGGAATGTGTCCAGGTGCGAAGAATCGCCTTGCCGTGAGGCATGTTTTGCGTTTTTGTTCGGCTAAGGGCTTGTAGGGTTTAGGGTGCTCCCGCGACACTCTGATGCCGGAACCCTTGGTGGCAGCCCTGAACCAAACAACGGGGCGGAATCTCGAGAAATCTCGTCACCCAGCTAGGATGATCTTTATTGCTGGTTGTGGGTCCCTTCTGCTTCCTGGTCTTGCCGTCCTAAAACGTTGTTCATGCTCAGTGCCATTGATGCTCCGACCGACCAGCACAAATCCTGCAATCAGCTTCGTTCCCCGAGATCCCAACATTCCATGGACCATGCACTAGCTATCCTTGGATGATTGATGTAGAGTATCTTGCCCCAATGTAGGAGGGCGACCTTAAAGCAAACCCTCAACTGGATCCCTAGGGCTTGGACCCTGGTCTCTAAACCTGGACCTGGTCTTTTGGCCTGCGGCCTGTGCCCTGCTAAACCCCGCAGGCCGCAACCCATCGCTACAAGTCCGAAGGTGCAAAAACATGACATTGAACCCCAAACGGAGCTACAGAGCAAGTTACGCGCAGGTTCGAAACCTATCGACCTTTGGCGATCAAGTGTTCTGGCAACCAGGCTTGAAAGGTCAGCCCTAAACCCTAAGCCCTAAAACCCTAAACCCTCAACGGCTTGAGGTTTGCCGAGACTCCTGAAGTCAAGGTACCGTTAATAGAGCTCTTGAGCTACAGTTCGGAAGAATGTTGGGCATAATGGCGTGGCATGGGGGGATCTATGTAGATGAAGCTTCAGCATTTTGGGCGCAGGGTTCAGAGTTTACGGGTTAAGCTTCAGAGGTTCAGGTTTGGGGTTCAAGGTGCAGGGTTGAGTGCAAGCCGAAGTCGAGAAAGGAGGCAAGGGGTTTCGGTGTCCTTGCGTGCAGGACTGTGTGCTGGAGTTTGGGTGCAAGGAAAAGATGGCCTGGATTCCCCTAAACCCAATATTGGGTTGCTGTCACGCTCAGTCCTATAGGTTCGTGAAGATAAGTCCTAGGCAGGAGTAGTATGCCCTAAACCGCAAGCCCTCACCAACTTTCCACAACCGACGGATTCGGTTTCGGGGATTCTCATAGTATGATGATAGCAAAAAGGGCTGTGAACGAGATGGATGATGAGAATGCCTTAAACCCTGAACCCTAAACCCTACGCCCTAAACATGCTTCCGGGGTGCAGTAGACTTGCCGCAACTAGGGGAAACAAGGGGTTAAAAAAAAAAAAAGTGCTTTCGAGGCCACTTCGGACAGCAGAAGGGCGATCCATTCTGCTGCAACCAGTGCCTCGAGCAAGACAGGGTTTAGGGTTTAGGGTTTAGGGTTTAGGCTTCGAGATGTCTTCGGCTCGGGGAGGTTCACCTAGAAGCCTAATACAGGGGCCTCAATGATGACCTATACCGTTTTGGGGGGGTCCTTATTGCATTTATAGTACAATGGGCCCGAAAACCCTATTCCAATTATTAAGGCCCCTATATATTTCAATAAATACCCAGAAATTATGCCGCACAAAAAATACATTTTGCACCCAAACCCTTGTTATGGATGTAGTTTTTGCTGTGCATGCTCGCCCAGCCTGCAAGACATTTCTGACAGCTGTGAGGCGAGTAGACAAGGGGCGTAAAAAAGGAAAACAAAAAGAACTAAACCCAAAGGACTGGGACGATTGGCCTTCCCTGGACGATCTGCAAAGAGGGCCGGCCTACTTGCTCGGGCTTGGTCGATGGTTCTGGCTGGGGCCGCTGGGACAGACGAGAGATCCTACGATAACCAAAGATTGATAGCAAATTCATCTACATACATCTATGTATGTATATATACATTTGGATAGATAGATATAGAACCTCATCGGGGTTCGCCTGATAAGGATGCCAAAATGCTTCCGTATCTTTTATCCTTTCCGTTTTATGTTCAGATGTATCGTAGTTCATGGTGTGCATGTGTCAGTCTAGGAGTTCAGCACCTAGTGAGAGAACTGAGGACAAACGGTATTAACCAATGGGCACACGTACACGATGAATATGGTGAGTATTGTCGCTGCTGCTGTTGCTGTCGACATCGGCTCCCTCTCTTTGCACATAAAGTGTAGAAGTATATTTATACACAGTGTACATATATATATATATATATATATATATATATATACACACACATGTTCTTCATCATAAGTGCAGATGGTCCACCATTTATATCGATTTTTCTCATGGGGCAAAGGCCAACGTGCTTGGTTGAGGGTGGCACTGTTTATGTCGTTGTAGGACGCGAATCCCAGCGAAAGCAAATTGCACAGACACCCTGGACCCAATTTTGAACTCTGACAAATCTGAAGCCCATACTCTGGACATATTCACGATTATTCACGTCAACGTCTTCCCGACAACTCAAAACCAAACCCTTCAAGAATGTATGAAACAGCCTAATAGGACCTCATGCCCTCAACTTTGGGAGCACACAACAAGTTATTATCAAAGAGCCCCCGAGGCGGCAATGATAGAACCCTTATATTGTTGTAGGACCCAGAAGAGAAGCCTCGTAAAGTCCTATAAGGATTTAGGGTTTAAGGTCTAGGGGTTTGGGATTTGGAAGGCTTAATGTTAATCGGCACCCCACCAACTCCTAGGCACGTGCATCCCACCTGATTGGGGCTGGCGCGAAGACCGATGCCCAGCCTCCATCACCGCCGGGTCCGGGCACCCGGTTTTTGCCTAGGGGGCTTAGGGCTCTCGGGTTTAGGGTCTAGGGTTTGGGTTTTAAAGTTCCGGGGCTTTAGAATGGTTATGCGAGCTTGTCCAGATCGAAACCTTCGAAAGATTTGGGGTTGGGGGCTTAAAGATTTAGGTTTAGAGTCGAGGGTTTGGGGCTTAAGGTCGAGGGTCTTTTAGGGCTCAGGCGTTGCAAGTCATGTCTGGGCGAGGCTTGAACATGCAGGCCATTCCTAAGCGCTGCTTCATGTAGTTTTCGTATACATCCCCTAAAACTCCTGTGTGATCATTTGGCACGAAACAAACGTGGTGTGCCTGCTGTTTTGATGGGTTTGGGGCTAGCGCAACCTCGGCACATCAAGAGAAAGAAAGTCACCTAGCAAGCAGCTTGCTGCCTTCACATGAAGGCTACGTTAAGTTAGGTACTTGAGATCCTGCCTCTGTTTGTAGGACGAGTTTAATTTGTACGAACGGGCCTTCAGGTAGGGTTCCGCACACGTGCAAGATGCATAAATATGGGTTTAAAACGTTTGAGATTTGGACAGCAGGGCTTGATGAGCTTGCCATTCTTTTAGCCAGGGAGTAAGGAATCGCGTTGGATATTTGTCGTTGTGGCCGTTACTGTCATAGCAGCAGCAGTAGTGGTAGCCTGGTGGCAACGAACGAAAGCGCCAGACTGATACAGGAGCGGATATAATGTCGCTGGAAAGTTCGTTTTCTTGCTGGTGGGGAAGCTTGAAACATGGTCTTCAAGTATACTTCATCATATAAGTTGAAGTCACCGAGCGGATCCCGCTGCAAGACCGCTGCTCAGCCATGCTTCGTGTTTTCGGCATTTCGGGCACAGAACTTGCCGCGTTTCCTATGAACAAGCTGGCTTCCTCCGTGGACAAGCAAATGAACCATGGCTGCAGTTGGGAAGCATGCCCAGTGAACACCATGATGTGCCATTTGCGCAGAAGTCACGGCTTTCCAATTTGCATTCAACGCTTGCTACGCGACGGCACCAGCTTGACAGAGCGTGACGAGTTGGAGTCACCTGCTGATCTGCAACTGGTGCTCCTTGACCCCACCAATGTTTCCGCATCTATTGTTGCAGAAGAGCTCGTAGAATATGCTGCTGTGAACGGAGACATACATGTTGCATCGGCCTTGTTGAAAGGTAGAGCTGACGTGAATTCGCAGGACAGGAAAGGCATGTCGGCATTGATTTGCGCTGCCTCTGAAGGCCGCATTGAGCTCGTGCACTTCCTATTAGAAGCTGGTGCCAGCACGAACTTGCACGACAACGGTGGCATGACAGCTCTCGCCCACGCAGCACGACAAGGTTGTTTTGAGGCTGTGAAGCCGCTGTTGGAAGCTGGTGCAGACTTTAATTTGCGAGATCTCCGCGGCATGTCACCATTGGCCCAAGCATCGAGCTTAGGCTTTTTCCACATTGCGCGCTTGCTCTTGGAAACTGGTGCAGACGTTGATTTGGAATCCTTTACCGGATGTACACCTCTTATGGGTGCGGTGTTGAATGAGCATCCTGATGTCGTATTCCTACTGTTGGAGGCTCGGGCAGAAACAGATTGGCAAGACTGGAACGGAATGACGGCTGTAATGCACGCTGTCTCCCGGAACGATACTGAAGTTTTACAGCTTCTACTCGAGGCTGATGCGGACCTAGACTTGCAGGAACTGCACAAGGGCCAGACGGCACTTTATGCTGCTACATGGCGAGGGCATGTTGAAGTTGCGAGTTTGCTACTGGCGGCCGGCGCCTGTCCGGATGTGCCCGATCTGAATGGCAAGACGCCTCTTATGCTTGCATCCGAAGCAGGCGCCGTCGACTTGGTCCACTCCCTTTTGGATTACTGGGCCTGGCAGGATTCTCAGGACAACGCAGGTGCAACAGCGCTGATGTGGGCATCCTCCTGCGGCGAGATTGCAGTGCTGCGCCTGCTGTTGCAAGCGGGGTCCGACAAGGAGCTGCCCGACAACGAAGGCAAGACCGCGCTCCATGTCGCATGTCGAAAAGGCCGTGCTGACGCGGTGAGCTTGCTCCTGGAAGCAGTCTCCAACAAAGAGGTCAGAGATCCACTGAACGCCACGCCTTTTCACTATGCATGCGACGGAGGCCATGTCAGAGTGGTGCGGCTGCTTTTGTCGGCCAGTGCTGACATGGAGATACAAGACCATGTCGGAATGACTCCTCTCATGCGATCATGTTGTGCAGGCCACGTGCAAGTTGTTCGTGCCCTGCTGAGAGCCGGTTGCGACAAGAATTTGTGCGACCATGGAGGGCTGACGGCTCTGCTTCATGCATCTTACGAAGGCCATGTTGAAGTGAAGAGCTTGCTGGTATGAGCTGCAAATGAAAGTGGCGAGACTCGTCAAGTGCGCGGAACGTAGTAAAATTTGCCACGCCCTTGTCCTTGCCATTCAGCTAGCTAAGTCCCAACCCAGGCTTTGGGTCCATGAAGCCGCTGCTGGTCGCATCAATCCCCTGATGGAAGTTCTGACATGCAGTGTCTTGGTTCACAGTTCCCCCTACATAATATCCCAAAACAATCGGGCACACATACAGAACCCTAAGACCCAAGGTTGCTTCATCAGGTTCCCATATTAGGCTCTGGTGTTCAGGTTTGGGGTACTTGGAGGTTCATGGGTAGTTGTAACTGGGGTTATAATTAAGGTAACTATACCTATAACCCTCATTATGGGACTTATAAACCCCACTTATAACTACCCATGAACCTCCAAGTAGTCAAAGGCTGCTGGCAGCTGAAGGTCCCTACGACATGGGCGAATGGGAGATATGTGGGTAGTTGTTAAAATTATGGTACCTTGTTAGGTCCTTAGGGGGGATCTGGGGGTTGGTGGTGTTTAGGGTGTAGGGTTTAGGGTTTAGGGTGTAGGGTTGTTCCACTGTGTGTATGTAGGTTTACGTGGCTTAGGGTTCAGGATTTAGGGTTGTGGCGCGCGCGCGCGTCCCGACTATATGTAGACTTTCAGCGCATGAGTGCGGTTTGATGGTTTCAAGGGCATTACGGTACCTACCTATTACCTTATATCCCAAGATGAGAGTTAGGGGAGCTAGTAGAATCTACTGTAGATTGTACTGCATCCAACCTTTTTTGGTACAGGGAAGTCACAGCCCATGCCCTAGCCCTAGTCCAGTCCGAGGTCCCTCAGGCCAACCTGCGGAAACTCCTACGGCTGATGGTATAAATCCTGCATTACCCATAATAAGGAATATCCCATAATTCCCACAGCTTAGGGTCTTTAAGGTAATGCAGGATTTATATCATCAACAGTAACACTGGGTTTAGCGTTTCAGATTTAGGAGTTACAGGGCCAAAAACCTGAATTGACCGCTCCAAACCTATACAGATTCAGTGACCCATTTACTTATTGGCTGTAAACTCAGCTTTTCAACTTCGGGGTGCTTATAAGGTAGCCGATCCTGAAAGTCTCAACTTTTATTTCCTTGGGATTTCAGCCAGTAAGTTTAGGCCTTTGAATTGGACCCAGAAGAAGCGTCAGACGACGGTTCAGGGTTTAGGGTTGAGGGCATGCTCAGTTCTAGCAGGTGAACATGCGCCCTACCTTAAGGACGAAATGACCCCTAATAGGGTTTAAGGTTCATATACCATATAGGGGTTTCATAGTATATGGGTACAGGGCCTCTACTTTTAAGGGTCATTTGGTCTTTCAGCTACTGGCCGAGATGGCGATGTAGTTCGAATCAAGGCCCATTGCATCATCTGACTTCAGATATGGTGACGAGCATATCAAAACCCCCGAATCCCCAAGACGCTGAATCCCAGCAGCTCTGAACTCCAAAACCCTGCATCCGAAGCTCCCCTCGCATCTTTCCGACACTTCCGAGGTTTGAACCCTGAATCCCTAGTTGAGAGACCCTAAAGCCTCAAAGGCTAGACCCTAAACACTAAGCCCTTAAAGCCTCAACCTTAAGCCGAGCCCTGATCCCCAGGACCTAGACCCATAGGGTTTAGGGTTTAGGGCTTACCTCTTAATCACTACAAAAAACTCCCTAAGAAGCCGCAGCGCGAACTCCTAAGGCGAACTGGTCGCCATAGCCGGCGACTCCGGCAGATGGATTTGTCCTGGTCTTGAAAAAAGCGGGCGCTGGCTTTGGCTTAGATGTTGTTGGTTTAGGGTACCCTCAACCCCAACTGTTCGTTGGGTTTTTGGGGTTAGGGTTTTATCGAGCTTAGGGATCTCACGGATTGAGGCCTGGAGGCCTAGAGCTTAAAGGATGTGGGTTTAAGGGCTGGAGTTTGAACAGCTTGCGGCTTAGAGCTTAGGTGCGGGTCTGCATCTTGAGGTTGAGGGTTAATTAGGGGGGTACTGCGGCGTTGAGGGTCAGACGTTTAGGCTTAAACTAACCATTCATACTGAAGGAGCAAAGGAGCCGGGATGATGATAATCCCATTAAATAAGGAGCTAAAGAGCAGAGGGAACCCCAAAACCACTGGTTAGTAAAGGTTGAGCCTTCATGGTTGAGAACTGATAGAATCTGGTCTTGGATTCAGGCTGTCATCGGACTCTGCGTAGCCCAGGGTACAGCCCTGATCTCTTGGGATACTGCGAAGTTCAGCATCAATACCAACCTACACATGCATACGGCTGATGAAGATTTAACTGGTCCGGTTTAGGAGTTGGGGTTCAGCATGTTTAGTGCATAGGCTCAAAGTGTAGATGTTAGAACCCAAAACTCCAAACTGAGTCCTGTGAACTGTGGCTGACACAAAATCAACCTTAAAACCCCGCACCGCTGCTATGATGAATAATCTCATAAGTTACCCAGCACCTCCAGGTAGCGTGTAGGAAGATATCAGACTCGCAGGTTCGTGACTCTGGGTGTAGGGTTTTGGTAGAGTGAAGGAGGGGAAGGATTCGGGCACCTTCTGAAAGGAAGGTTGCTTTGAGCCCCTTAAGTCCAAAGCAGCCTTAACCCCCTAAACCCCAAAGCCTATAAGTCCTGAGCCCTAGACTAAACCCTAAACCCAAGCGCAAACGCCCCTAAACCCGAAGCTCCTGAGTCCCTAAACCCTGAAGCCTAAGACCCGGAGGACTTATGCAACAGCTCGCAGCGTCGCAGGCATGGTCGGTTGTTTTAGGCGGTGTAGGTGGTTGGGGAATAGGGTTCCGTGTTTAGAGTTTAGAGGGTATAGGGTTTCGGGTTTAGGGGGTTTGGATGCAAAATGCTAATTTTATATCACAGGGTGTTTTGCATCATCCCTACTGGTCGGATTTCATATGTGCAACCGGCCACATTCCAACCAGTAAGGCCCCCGCACTTACAAAATCCCGACCGAACCCTAAACTGTTGACCCCAAACTTGATCTCTCTAAACAGCTATGCATTCGGCCTAAGCTGCCGCAACAACTACTTGCGCAAAGAAGCGACGATGCTGTCTGGAGCACAGAAGCCCCGGCATGATTTTGCCCTTAACGCTTAACCCTAAACCCTAAACCTTAAAAAGAACACCCTAAACCCTAAACCTTACGAAAAAACCTTATTTAAACCCTAAACCCTGGACACACCAAAAGGATTTTTGAGAGCCCATTTTTAAAAGACCTTCTTCTCCAAGGACCCAAAAAGGGGCCCTAATTTTGACAACCACCTATATGTGAGCTGTGGATGGAGCTGGGAGCTAGTGTAGACACGTGAAGCAAGATCCGATCCCATCATTCAGCTGCAAAAGATTCCGGGGGCCTGTAGGCGGGGGAGACCTCGTTTGTTGGATCCCTTTTTGGGTCGATGTGGTGAGGTGATCCAGTTTGGCAGCAAAGCAACAGCCACCTTTTGACAGAGGTTTTTGATGGGCTTCCTTGTGATATCTCCTTCTTGTCAGTGTCCCTTGGATGCTCAGCCATGCTTCTCGAAATCGATCTCCTGTCTGAAAGAACCTTGGGAAGGTGGTAGCCTAGACCCTCAACTTTGTCCTGCATACCCACTACATCCTATACTCAGGGTCAGGGTTTAGGGTCGGGATTGAGGTACAGTCTACTCCCTTTCGGAACCTCTTCAGGGATGACTTGCTCTGTCAAGGAGCCGTGTCCCCGCGTTCACACGCACCATCCAGCATCCGAAGGAGGGCTCCACTGTTTGGAATTTGGTTTGAGATACCACAAGGGGGAGATATGTGTTAGAAAATCGGGTTTCCTGCTTATTTTGCTGGTAACCAGTACTATTCCTGAGCGTTCCACATGACAACTGCACTATGCCCCCCCCCCCCCCCCCCCAAACCATATGCGGATTGTTCTGGCCCGCACATTCGGGCTTGAGGGTTTCAGGTTTGAGTTTCAGGAGCTGCGTATCCTGGCTAGATCGAAGACACTCCGAGTTCAATTTGAAGTCGCAAGGTGCAATGTTTGTCATGATTTCTAGATGGGCCTTTAGGATACACTATAATTTGTCCTGGCTGGGCTTTTGAGGATATGCTTCACGAATGTTTTCGAATGCTTAAAGGGCCAGCCTAGGTTTCTCTAGCTTCCAGACATGTACGCCCAAACCTAAACCTTGAACCCCAACCCTGTTATTGGGGATCTGTCCGTGGGAATGCAGGTAAATTTCGGCTCGGGGTCTTGAATGACGCATCCGGATTCGTAATTTCGATCAGGTGTTGTAGTTGTTGCTTCTGATAGCACGCTTGCTTTACATAGGGTCACCAAAGTCACAAGCGACTACAAAGGAAGCCGCCTCGGACTGCACTACCACTCCTCCTACTCCACCCGTACCCCAAAGTCCCACTCCTACTCCTACTCTGACTCCTACACCACCTACACCCTCACTTGCACCTATACCTACATCAACACCTACCGCTTCTCCTACTCCACCTCCATCGGCACCTGCACCTCCTCCTACATCTACACCTACACCCACACCTGCTACTGCTGCTGCTACTATTACCACCGCTACTACTGCTGCTGCTGCTGCTGCTACTACTACTACTACTACTACTATTACGACTACTACTACGACTACTACTACGACTACGACGACGACTACTGCTGCTACTTGTGTACCGCCGCTACCACTACCACTCATGCTTCCATCCCTGGTCCCTCCTGCTGCACCAACTCCTACTCCTATTACTACCGCCAGCGTCGGGGTTTACCAGAAGGAGCGGCCTTTGAACAGCTCAGGGTCTTATGAACCCTACTAGACACAATGACTCCGAACCCTAAAGCCGACACCGACATAGCCCTACCCGCAAACCTCTGAACCTTAAGCCCTTCCAAGCCTCTGAGACCTTCACTTACACCCTCTTCTTCGTCCTGGCTCAGAGAGCTTTACGTCGTTGGAGTTTAGGGCTTGTGTCTGACATTATGCTT